CAACCCACTCAGGCCACTCCCGTTCGTCACTCACTCGCTCACTTGCTCAGCCTCTCTCGACTCGCTCGCATATGCTGTTTTGCGCTTTACCCTTTTCCTCTCTCTCAACACCAGGCTCTTGTTTCTCTCTTCTGTCTCTACCTTTAGTGCTTGTATCCTGCCCTGCTATCACTCACAGGTATCTGGATACATTTATGCTTGGTTTGATTGGGGACTGCTTGTGACTTGATCTTTATCGCAATCCATACATTTGATCCCCGTATCAATTACACAACTACGGTTCGGCCTCCCTTGATCATTCAATCAATCATTTATTCATTCACTTATGAAATTGATCAATCAGTCGAGAAATATCATTCAAGCTATTCAATCAATTTCTACGCATTCGCCACAATTCATTACACTGCAGTCACGCCCAGTCCGCAATCATGGAGGATACACCGTTACGCGCTGTCATTGACAAGAAACCCGTTCCCGAAATCGACTTTACCCTGCATACTATGGAAAATGGAGCCCAAGTTTCTACGCAAGAGAGAGTCTGCAAAGGTTAGAAAAGATTGAATGAATGAAAGGAATATGGGAAGATAGGAAGAAGAAAGGGAAAGGGGGAAAGGGAGCTGTTACGGAATTCTGTTTCCTACCAACTTAGCTTGCCTTTCCCTTTGCTGCGATCCGGATGCAAATTCTTTCGACTTTATAGGCATCATCCTTGCTGACCTTTTCTCCTCTTTAAATCTTTCCCTTCGTGGGAAATCTTTTTTTCCTCTTCTTATCAAACACACACAGAAGTACAAGCACCCGCCTTCACTAAACCAACCGACGATCAATTCTGGCATCCAGATGATCCTTCCAAGCCAAACCTTGCCTTTCTCAAGCAACATTTCTACCGCGAGGGTCGCCTCACTGAAGATCAGGCTCTATGGATCATCAATGCCGGTACCGACCTACTCCGTCAGGAGCCCAATCTGCTCGAGATGGATGCTCCCATAACTGTCTGCGGAGATGTCCACGGCCAGTATTATGATTTGATGAAGTTGTTTGAGGTCGGCGGTGATCCTGCTGAGACGCGCTATCTGTTTTTGGGGGATTATGTTGACCGTGGATACTTCAGTATTGAGGTGCGTTTGCTTCCTTTTTCCATATGCTCTCCCCCCCTCTCCTATACATACCGGGCGTGAAAGGAGGAAACAGAATCTCGCTGACTATAGCTCATCTTCTACATTCCCACCAGTGCGTTCTCTATCTCTGGTCTCTGAAAATATGGTATCCCAACAGCCTTTGGCTTCTTCGCGGAAACCACGAATGTCGCCATCTTACCGATTACTTCACATTCAAGCTCGAGTGCAAACACAAGTATTCTGAAGCCGTTTACGATGCGTGCATGGAATCTTTCTGCGCCCTGCCATTGGCTGCTATCATGAACAAGCAATTCCTTTGCATTCACGGTGGTTTGAGTCCGGAACTACATACGTTGGAGGATTTAAAATCGGTATGTTGCCTCTTCCTTCGAACTTACCGCGACTCCTTTTTACACGAGCAAAATTGGATTGACATATCTTTCTTAGATTGACCGATTTAGGGAACCACCAACTCACGGTCTGATGTGCGACGTCCTCTGGGCCGACCCCTTAGAAGAATTTGGTCAGGAGAAAACAGGCGAGTACTTCGTCCACAACAACGTCCGTGGTTGCTCCTATTTCTTCTCCTACCCTGCAGCATGTGCATTTCTCGAGAAGAACAATCTCCTGTCAATCATTCGAGCGCATGAAGCTCAAGATGCCGGTTACCGGATGTACAGAAAAACGCGCACAACAGGATTTCCCAGTGTGATGACAATCTTCAGCGCACCAAACTACCTCGATGTCTACAACAACAAAGCCGCTGTTCTAAAATATGAGAACAATGTCATGAACATCCGACAGTTCAATTGCACTCCTCATCCTTACTGGCTACCTAACTTCATGGACGTCTTCACCTGGTCTCTTCCCTTCGTCGGTGAGAAAATCACTGATATGCTGATTGCCATATTGAACACTTGCTCCAAGGAAGAACTCGAGGATGATGTTATAACTCCATCAATAACTTCTGGTATTCAATCTCCTCCCGCCGTCACTTCCACCTCTGCCGCTACCGCTACCACTGCCGCAGTCACTCCACCTGAAGAAGCGACTTCCGCCTTTCAGAAACGCGCCATCAGAAATAAGATTCTCGCCATCGGTCGACTGTCTAGAGTCTTCCAAGTTCTTCGTGAAGAATCAGAGCGCGTTACGGAGTTCAAATCTGCGACGGGCGAGAGACTACCACAGGGTACGCTCATGTTGGGAGCGGAGGGAGTTAAGGCTGCAATTACGAACTTTGAGGATGCGAAGAAGGTTGATTTGGAAAACGAACGGTTGCCGCCTACGCAGGAGGAGGTATCACGGAAAAGTGAAGAGAATAGAAGGGAAGCGTTGGAAAGGGCTGCGAAGGAGGCAGAGAATGATACCCAATTGGCTAGTCTGGGAAGGAGGATTAGTGTGTAAGTACTCGGGACGAGGAAACCCCACCCATTATACCCCAAACTGCGGTGCTTGCTCCTTTGGCTACTGCTCTTTCTCTCATCAGTTACTAACAACGCTTATCTAGTTCTCGAAGAAGCAAGGGTACAGGCTCTTCCTCCTCATCGTCTGGCCAAGCAATGGACCAGCAGCAAAACTAGCACATGGGAGTCTAGCCGTTTTGATGTTGATGTCAAAGCGTCAACTATGATTACCTCGTCCATTCCCTCTTCATTTCCACTCCATCCTTCTTGCATCGTCATGCGGGTATTTCTTGCTTTGTTCGCTTAACTCGATCATCATGGCATTCTACCTTACTATGCCTTTTCTTTCCCTTTTATTTTGTCTTCTCATGTTTCTTAACCCCTCTTTTGCCTCAGCTTATTTTGTCCTGTTTGAGGGCCCTTCTCGGTCAAAATACTTATTTATTATGTTCGAGTCAACTATTGTTTTTTTCCAACCCTTTGTGTCCCGCCTGCTTTGCGACTGTCAACTGATACGGATTGGCTTTGCTTGGATTTCATCCTCCCATACCTTCCCTGATTTTCACCCTTCTTCTATCTCGTCATAGATCGGCGTGGTGTATCGCGTTCTTCTAATGATTTGCCAGCTTCGGGTGACAAAAAGAAAGTCAGATTAGATTGACAGGAACTCCCGCCCGAACAAGGCAGAGGAAAGGGAAAAAAAAATGAAAATGATTTAGGTCGAGCTGGGAATCGAACCCAGATCATCAGAATCAGAATCTGATGTGATAACCATTACACTACTCAACCACTAATTGGTCGATTGATTTCATTAGGATTTATAATACCTAAAAGTACCTTATAGGTCTTAGGACGTGCCGAGAAGGAGTTGGGGCAGACAGCGAAGACAAACGGGAAGTGCCTCGCTGGAGTTGTCCCGTCCCCCCTCCCCCACAACTAGACCATATGGTCTTGAATGGAGGTGAGTGTGGTGTCTAAAAGATGAGCCGAGAGAGAGGAAGTGATTGGTGCTTTCCTTGATCTTCTGTACAAAGGTAGGGCCTATGGTCGTAATGTGTGTGTGTGTGTGTGAATAGTGCAAAAAAGAGACGTACAACAGCTGGGATTCGCTGGTGGTCACCCACCCAACTACTAACCAGCCGGCCAGTGGCTTAAGTATGGCTGAACGGACGGGAAGCCCTGTTTTCCACTGCCTGTGGTCGTACGTTGATATTTTGCAATCGATTTCGTCTATAAGCGTAATGGTGACCGTTCGCCCCACCCGCCGACGTCAGTCCTCTGTTAATTACCGTTCACGCGCGCATCGCATTCACGTCCTCGATATTTCTGAAGAACAGGACAAGAGAAGACACTTACTTTCAAGGAACGGAGACAAGCCATTGACGAGTGCAGCTCGTCTCAATAATCATAGGCAATGCCACCAAGGCTTCCTGAGCCCGTTACGGGGCGTACTCGGTGGAGTCCCCGTCTCCCATATCTCTCCTGCGCATCTAGGTCGACATCACGGCTTTTCATGACGCGTGCAGCAAATCCTCGATATCCATTGCGCACCAGCGATGCGCGGCGCCAGCGGCAACGAGATGCATCTACAGCAGCGATGACGCCTGCTACAACTCCCATGATGACAATTGCGAAGGAATTGGACTCCTTAGCACGACCATTATCACCACTGCTAAAAGTGTCGCCGACAGCCGCTGCGGCGGCGGCGGCTATGGTTCCGGAGAAATACAGGGAGCTCTATGGGGCGTTGATGGGTTTGAGGGAGGATGCGACTGTGGATTACGTCGATTGGAGTCGGGTGCAGTTTGTTATGAGGCAATTGGAAAATGATGAAGCTCCAGTCAGGATTGCAGGTTAGAACACCTGGCTCTTCCCGAACTCTCTTTTCTCTTTCTCTCTTTTCCCTCTCGGCCTCCGTCAATGCATGATTCACAAGTCGGTATGCTAATGTTAGACCGGTGTAGTCCTGGACCTCGACGATGATTTGAATACAGCATTGAAACTGGTTCACTGTATGCTATCCGACCCATTAGACGCAAAAGCCGAATGGGAGACGTACTTGGAAACCTCTGTAGACCCTTCTCGCGGTCTACTTGTAAGGTATGCTTCTATCTGCCTAATAACTTGATATCCGTCGAGACAAAGGACTCATCGATCTAATACAGTTGGCCCTTTGAGCAGGTACGGCGACGAATTAGAATTGAGCATGCCAAGTAGCATCTTGCCTACAATCACAATTCCATCACGGCTCCTCAAGACACATAACATCGAGTTCTTAATTTCTCCCATGGGCCCGCAACCCCTGAAGATGGATGCCCCCCACAGAAATCGTCCATTCGATCGCTTTTTGGTACCCAACATCCCTATACATTCATCTGTGGGAAGCCATTGCACGCTGGCACCCTTCCCAGTCCACAAAACAATCATTTGCGGTGATGGAATAGACAGCGTGCTCGCGTATGGCAATATTATCGGCAATGAGAACATGAGCAATAAATGCTCTGTGTCTGTCCAGGCGGCGTTCCAGGTCCGAGCCCAACACGAGCAAGCTAGAATGGAAAAGGGGGTCACATTAATTGATACTGATCGAGCAATTGATGCATTGGACAAGTTCCGTCAGTCCGCTAAGAATGCGTCGGAATTTGAGAAAGGATGGGCCGCGAGTAATGTTCAAGCATTGGTTGATTGGCTTCCTATGTCGACGAAATCGAAGGAAGGTTTGAATACCGAAGTGAAAAGACATATCTTTTCTATCCTTGAGGATGCGGAGATGAACATCAGAGATGACGAAGAACGTGCATTGAACTATGCGCGAGCATGTACAGTACCTGACACTGTGAGGAAAGATCTCAGTGTCTCCGTGGACTTTTGGGCAGAGAAAAACCATACTGAGTTGAGGGAAGAGCTGGAACGAGGCTTTGCTACTGCCAATTGGAAGAATCTGACTTGGTGGAAGTTATTTTGGCATGTTGACGATGTTGAAATGTATGCAGAGGAAATCATCAAAGAAAGGTGGTTAAAAAGAGCAGAGGCTGAGACTCTATGGATTGGTGGTAGATTGCGACAAGCTGGTTTGCTGAAAGAGGACATCAATGAGACGTATGAAGAAGATGCTACGAAAGCGTGCCCGGCCGCGTCACCCAACCAACAAAGTAGCCCAATCGAATCACCGTCAGATGCAACAACGGCAAAGCACAGCCATACATCAGACGGACGTGGGAAAGGTTCCATGACTCTGTGGCCAAGCAGGTTATCGCAAGCTCGCGCCAACCTGATCTCTTCCACGGTTCCTCCCCTTCACGCTCTCGCGCAGAACCTCGTTTTCTTCAGCATATCAACCACCAGTCTAACATCTGCCCTTTCGATTTTGACTTACCTATCCTCTCCAGCAATGACTCTTTATGAAGCTGGCGTTATTGCTACTGTTGGTTTGTACGTATCTCTACGTCGGCAACAGAAGAGATGGGAAGCGGCACGGAGTATATGGGAGCAGGACGCACATGAAAAAGGGAGACGGGAATTGAAGGATACCGAAGATTACCTAAGGAAATTGATTGACGAGGAAGGAAAGGC